CTACAACAAGAAAAGAAAAGACACTAAAAAGTTCCAAATAGTAATTTTGCTTTTCATACCTTGTAAAAAGAGGATTACATCAAAAATTCTTCCAAATGAAAGGATTCCAAAAATCATATTTGAGTTCTTTCCAAAAATCTATACAATTCATCTTCTAACAACAAAAAGCAAAACACAAAAGAACCTGCCGCCCGCCGCTCTCCCTACGACGGTAGGTGCGCGGAGGTTGGTCAGCCATTATCTAGAAGCAGGGTCTCCTGAAAAGTTCCCATAACTAGGGTGAGTCAAACTCAATACGGCAAATGCTTTACCAAATAAATATTTAGAGAAAAATAATAAGAATGAAGCTAACATGAATGAAAAGAAATATAGAACTCATTGCAAATTAAATAGAATACTTCAATGTAATCCATAAATCCTTTCCTTAACATAAACTTGTGATGCAACACTTCCCATAAAAACATAAAAGAATACTTTCCCTTATACCATAATGCTTTTCCTTTAAACCATAATGCCTTTCATATGCTTAATATAACATGTATTTATAATCACCCGTCTCGGAGATATCATTTTGTACTGATCAGGTACAACATAATAGGTCATTCCTTTACCAATGCTCAAAAGAGCATCACCTTTACCAATGCTCAAAAGAGCATCACCCTACAATGCTCATAAGAGCATCACATTTACCAATGCTCATAAGAGCATCACCTTTACCAAAGATATCTCCCGCATCAACATGCACATACACTTATCTTTTTGTTCTCATAACATGCATATGTTTAAATGTCCCCTAATATGCCATATAGTTTCATAATAACATAGGATGAAAAGGGCAAGTTCTTTTCTTTATTCCTTAACCAAGAAAGAGTAAGTGCAATAAAATAAATAATTCCTTTCATAAGAAATATGCTTGAAAGTAAGGGATTTCTTTACTTCATATCCATAAACCATAATAAAAAGAGATTCATAAACTTAAAGAGCATAAATCAAAATATGCTTTGAAGGGATAATAACAATTTCATTTTCTCTTAAAATTTAAAGGTATTGCATTTACCTACCTCAAATAAAAAGGTCTTCACTTAAGTATACTTAGGAGCTTCTCCCTCCAATTGATCAAAACCTAAAAGGGATACAACAAACAATATTACAAACCTATATAAAGCTCCTAAACCTTAAGTTAAGAAAAAGAGAACTCTCCCTCTTCCTACAATTCATGCTTCAATAAGAAAAAGAAAAACCCCATAAGTGTCAAACTACCATTTTAATTTAAAAGCTTCTAAGGATGGCTTCTAAAAACCCTTCCCAACATAAAGAGAACTCTTTTGATCAATAATTTCAAAATTGGGAAAATAACCCTAATTTCCAAAACTCAAAAGTTTTGTTAAACACTACAAGTTCTTCACATAAAAGCTTCTCCAAACCTCTAGAAATTCTTTTTATGAAGGAAAACCAAAGAAAAGCATGTTTTAAGAAAAACCCTAATTTCCAAATTCCATATTTTCAAGAAATCAACTAGCATTAAGGTTTAGAAACATCCTTTAATCATTCTCTAAACTTTTCTCAAAGAAAATCCAAGTTTTCTAAAAACCCTAGAAATCTTCTCATTCAAAAATCTAGAGAATGAGAGGGAAAATCATCATTCTAATGCATACCTTAGCCTTCCCTTAGCCTCCCCTAAGATTTTCCTCAAGATTGGCCGCCGAAAACCGCCGCCGGAGCAACCGCCGAAGACGCCGTCCGAGCCTTGCATCCGCCTTCTCCTTGTTCCGCACGGTTTGGCCGTGACATGCGAATGGGAGAAGAGTGAAGGGTTTCGGTTTTTGTATAATGGGAGAATGGGTTATGCCAAAAGACTTAATTGCCCCCACTTAAGTAATTTCGGCCTTCATAAAACATAGGGGTAGAATTGGCATTTCTAACCTTCCAAAATTCATAATCTTCAAAATACTCATAATACGATATATGTTCTATACATCAAAACGATCAGACTTTTACGCTCTATTTTCTAAAATTATTCCCGTCGAAATCTGACAACTTCGAAATTTTCACTTAAACCTCGTCGCGGCGCTTTGAAAAGCGTGCGAGGTCTTAGACGGCATTTTCGGGTTTTACAGAAACTTCTTTGCATAAAATTATCAGTTAAGAAAAGACTGAGATAATTACATTTAAACATTTATCAAATCTATCTTGTTCTCATGGATAGAAAGTTGTGAATACTTTAATATACCTTCATGATGACTAAACAAATTCTCATACTGCATCTCTTCATAATAGACTTTCAAAACATAAATGATAAATTAACCATTCATGATGATTACAACTATAATTAATTACATAATTTACCTCTTTGATTGTTGATCTCTTCAAAACCTACACCACGAATCCTTCTCCTTTGAAACACAAACCCAAAGCTTTCTTTCTGCATAAATCTATGAATAATCCTACCATACAATTCGGTTATCACTGTTAGAAATGTTACTAAATTTAGGTGACATAAAAGATAAAGGTTAATAGTATACTTCTCCCTTTTCTTCCTTTCTTTTCGATATTCTTTTGTTCTATTCTTCCTTTCTCTCCTCTCCAAGCTACCACCTTAATATCTTTCAACTAGTTTGCATACACACAACACTAGAATTCATAAAAATTCTAATCATTTTACTTGCAATTATTTCCCTTCTTTCACAATTGCAACAAAATTCCCTTCAAAGATGTGCTCTGAATCCCTTGAACCACAGAACTATTGCTTGCACCAGACGATTCTGCGAATTCCTTCTGTTCTCAGCGGCAATTGACCGCCTCTGCTACAGTGTTTTCATCACTATGCTGAAACCACTACAGCCCGCAAGCAGTCACTGTGCCGAACCTTTCTACAAGGAAATTGGAAAAAATCCTTCAGCCGTTGCCGCTTATTTCTCTTGCTTCAGCCGATTTGTTCCTTGCGGTCGGTTGAGAGTGGAGAACCAAATTCTTGCTACAGATTGCTCTGCCTTCCTTCACAGAAATAGCGGCAGTTACCAAGAATTAATTACCAGATATGGATAAAATAGTGGGTCCCACTCTTCAACCGATTTCCAAAAGTCTCCTCCCTAAAAACATCTTTTCGGCTGCTAATAAAAAAAACTCAATTAATTATTATAATTCCACTATCTAATAAATTAAAAAAAAACTCAATTAATTATTATAATTCCCTAAAACCCTTCTATTTAAATAAATAGCTACTAATTAAAGCTTCACACAATAAAAACGCATAACTGAAAGTTTAAGTCTTTGGATATTACATATGTCAAATTTGGAGATCAGTTGGTCATTCAATTAACGTCTAAAGTGTCCTATTGTGCTTCAAGTGTTTGATTTGATCTCATTTTGACTTGGATTGGGCCACTTCTTCTTGTTGAGATCAGTTTGACTATAAGTTTGCTGAAATCAAAGTGCAGGTGATCATAATTTTAATTTCAGAAGTTTTTAATTCAAAGTCTGCCTTGAGATTCTTGCAGATCTATGACTTTTCCGGAGGCATATCAAAGATAATCATAAACCTAGATGATTGTAGGGGAAAATATTTTGTATGTTATAAAATCTCACTCTCTTTTTCTTTTGAATTTTTGATGAAGACATAAGCATGGACTGTTTAAAACTTTTTTTCTTGCAAGAATTTAGATTGTAAGTTCTTGATGTGTGTTATTCACAATTTTCATGTTTGTGTGCCACACAATGATGTTAACGATAATTAATAGTAGTAATCAGATGCCATATTCCATGGAAGAATGAGAAAATTTGAATATGATGTTCTTGGCATACATAGTTTATTGGTTGAGATGTTCTTTGAAGTCAATCTACCAAAAGAAGTAACTTATGTAATCTTTGATGGGTTAGAAAGGGGATTATTTTCAGTTGAACCACAATGAACGTGTACTGCTAGATCATAGTTGACAAGTCACATGTAAATTCATCTTGCCATTGCAATTTTGGATTCAGAAATAGGTGTAGATTACAAAAGAAAGTGTCATAGATCTGCATTTTGTGTTTGTTGATCATATTTTACTCCTACTGATTCTTCTATGGAGAATGATTAGTCATTATAAAAATTTATAAAGACATATTTGTCTGGGTTAAAAGGCTAATAAGAATGTTTTCCAAGATAAGTTTTTTCAATTGCTAGTTAAGTGTCCTGTCTGTTTGGGAAAAAATTTGGGTCTGGATATCCTTACCCAAATTTTCTCCCAACATTGGCACTTATAACAAGGCAAGCAGGATGAGCCTTACCATTCACAACATCATTTGATGTTTTAGGTTTATAATAAATAGTTTCTATAATCTGGTTAGCCTGGTGTGTTTAATGATTGATGTTACAAACAAGTTGAGGTTTAACATTCACAAGTTATTGTGAGATTTCAGGCTTATATTTAATAGGCTCTATAATCAGCCTGGGTTAAGTAATGGTTGATGTCACTTACTTAGATTGACCTATCATGACATTATTTTAGTTGGCAAGATGCTTATGTTGTCCTTTAGGGGGTTTTGTGATTTGCTTGTCGTGTTATAGGTTTGAAGTGTCTTATTTTAGTCATAGTTTTATGACCAAGATAATCATAAGTCAAAACTCGACTTTGTCTTGCACACTGACTTACCCTTTTTTGGGACAAAATTATGTATATTGTTATCAATTTTGTGTTTTTAGTCTCAAGGAACACATAAACATGGACTCCTTGATACTATTTTTTCCCTGGTTTATTAGGTTTGTTAGGATTAAAATTGTCAGTTGCCTGAAGTATCTTATCCAAAATTTCCATGTCTATGTGCCATGCAACGTTTAACAAACAGTTCATAATGGTGATCAGATACCAGATTACATCTACAATTGGGAAAAATTCAGATATGATGTTATTTGCAAACATAATTATTTGAAGCATTTGAGATCTTTGAGTTCAATCTTCTAAAAGCCTAATCTTGTTCTCTAATATTTTTAGTAACCATCGTTTGTATACGAATTATTTTAGGTGATTTACTTTGGAGATCATCTTTTTAGTGACCTTAGAGGACCTTCAAAGGCTGGCTGGAGAACTGTTGCTATCATCCATGAACTAGAGGTACTATTTTTCAAGGTTCTATTCTATTAATGTAACCTCCAGAACACTTCACCTGGCTGATTGTCTCAACAGCCATCATAAAATTTGAATATATGCATTGCATATTGATATGCTTGGAGCTTCACATGTAGGATAAAATTTAAAAGAACTGACTAATAATAGCATTGATAAGCCAATAGTTCGTTAGTTAAAAGGAAAAAAAATCTGTGCAGTTTGATGCGGAGAGGGAAAGGAAAGTATACATAGTTTCAAGAGAAAGGAGGGATAATTAAACCTTCATTAGGACCAGCAGAAAGAGCAGAATAAGAGAAGGGTAGCAGCCTGCAATGAGATGACATTTGCATATGCTTTTTATGGAAATCTGTATTAAATTTAAAATTTTGTTTGAATGGCATTCTAATTTGGCAATTATTTTATGGGCTTATAAAATTCATGCCCTGACCCTATTGAAAGAGTTTTGTGTATTCCGGGATGAAAAGGCATACGTCAGATTAGATTGAACAAATAAGTCGTTACCTAATGATTGCACCCTCATTTTACTATATTTTTATAATATGGTTCCATATTTCTCATAAACAAAAGCCCGCCCTTATAATTAATTATCCCCCTAGTTGACGAGAGAGAACTTTCAATTAAAGTTTGTCGTTGGAAGTAAAATGCTTAGCGTATAGTAGCAGCAATTTAGTTTAGAGTTGAGAATTTGCCTCTGTTTCCGTATATTTTCAAGACGAGCCCAAATCAAGCTCATTCGATCCCGACTGCGCTTGACTGTCGTCGAGCGTCAATATACCTAAATCGGGCCCTGATTAGATGAATTTAATTCCATCAAATTAAAGGCCAATGGATCAAACCAACCCAAAATCAATCCAAATTGAGCCTCGTTGAGTCTCGTCGAATCAAATTCGATGAAATTCGACCCCTATTCAAGTTTCATTTCATAAATTTGACTTGATTAGATTCAATCGAACCTGAGTCAATTCAAATCGATCAATTTGTGTTCGATTCGGGCTTAATTCTAGCATAATTGATCCAATTCAAGTTTGATTTAACCCCAAACAGATTAAATTGGCTTCTTGGCCTCTTGTAATCATTTTCCCATTTTAGAAAACTAGAGATTCAAAAAGCTACTGTTCACCCATCATTTCGCTCTGATTCGAGCAACTACATCCGTATATCACGCAGAAAACCCACTCCAGAGCAAAATCCCCTGAGAAATTATTTTGTGCGGAGTTTGGACGGGAAGAACAGTCCGGATTGTTGTGTATTTACTAAGTATTTGTAAATACTCAGCAAATACGAAGTAAATCAACAAAAATCTCACAAACATTCAACAAATACTCAGTAATACTCACAATTGAATATTTGCAAATACGCAACAAATACTCAGTTTGCAAAGACTTAGTAAATATGCAGCAAATTTGGATGGTATTCCCGTCCAGACTCCGCACGTAATAATTTCTTTTATTCGGGATGCACGCAGCTAAGAGGCCAAATAAGCCTTTTCTCTCGTCTCTCGCTCCCTTTATATGTGAAGAAATTATTCTATGCGGAGTCAGGACGTAGCTCTGTGTCTGAACGCTAGTAAAAATCTGGACGCGTGGATTGCCGACGTGGATATCATCTACTGACATGGATTGCCACAAAGAAATTATTTTGTATTGTAAGCTCGACCTATCCTATTTTTTCTATCTTGTTAGCCCAACTGACCGCCCCGCCCAGAGTTAGTTAAAGAGGTGAAAATGGCATAAAATTTTCACTTTTCAAGCGCCTATTCAGTTTTCAACTTCTGACATTCGTATTTCTCAAATGCTCTGGCATTCGCTCCTCGCAACACACGGCATCTGCGCAAATGGTGTCACCTTCAAAAAAGGTTTGTCTATTATTTGCTTGTCATGTTAACTGAGTATCTTCTGTGTTTTTTCTGCATATAAATTGCATTTTGATGCTTATTTGTTCAACCTAACCTGAAAACCTTGAAACATAAAAACAATAAACAACTAAACACACTGTCACACCCCAGTTTGGCTCACCCTTTAACATCCAAACTAGAGTATAACAAAGAAAGATTTCAACATATCAAATTTCACACTTAATAATAAGAAGCATGTAATATACCTTACTGAACATCAATATAATTAAAACAAATACAGAGCTCTACTAAAACTTTTGAAGTTTACTTACATATCAAAAGGTTTATACAACTATTCTTCAGATATCCTCTAAGATCTCTTTGTACACCAAAACATATTTACACCAAACACGGATGATCACCTCTTTCTCGCCTAGTGCCCTACGGGCTCCTTTCCCTTACCTGCAGTATAACCACTGCCCAATGAGCCAATGCTCAATGAAATACTCAATAAATGCAAAAGAAATAATTCTAACCATGTTAACCATTAATGTAAAACCCATGTAAAATTCTTTGCTAAACATAAGAAATATATAACATCACTTTCTGTTGTGTTTCTTTTCAGCATTTATATATAAGTTATATAATGGCTATAGGCTTTTGCACCCATCCAATGTTCCAATTCAGGATTGGGTCCAAATACCAAATTTCTAGAATTGGTGCTGCTCTCTCATTCAAGGCTGGGTCTAATCCCACAACTTTTAGAATTTCGAGAGTGTAGGCGTTATTCGTCAGGTCTCTTTTCGCTTGCTGCCGGTTTGCTGCCTTTTTGCTGGTGCGCTTAATGGCTTTATTCCCATTTTTAACTTATTATATTCCCATATCATCCTTTTTTCTACCATCATAACATGCTTGTTGTACTCATTCAGTGATATGAATAATACTTGAATAAATTGAATATAAATGCTAAGTGTAAGAGACATAAACAAAATAAATTGACCAAGTTATATAACAATTTTCTATTATTTTCATATAGCATTGTTTAAGTATATCACCCGTCGTTTTCCCAGGACGGTCGGTTGTATTTGGTTTCACTAGAGTTACCGTTATGGGGGCTCGTGGCCATCTTTTCCCCTTTTGTACACTATTATCCACTGACATTTCTTTCCTCGTTTAAACTAATAACCTTTGTCTTAATTCTCTTTAATCTCCACCCGTCTTAGCTTTTTTTTTTCAGCCCTTCTTAATTGCTTTCAAAACAACTGCAGATTCATATATGGAGAAAGAAAACCAAAATCTTAGTCTGACAACCATAGCCCTGATCTTTCTCCTACTGATTTTGTTTTTATAAATTAATTATTTCTTGCCCAATTACAACAATACAACTTTCAGCCATACACACTTAAGAAATACTGATTTCTTCATACCATTTCAAAAATCTGCATACTGACATCTAAAGTATACATTTCAGATTTCTGTAATAAAATTTCAGCACATAATATTCTATTCCCTCTTCTATCAACTACAAATTTCAGCCAATATTCATTTCAAAACACTATAGGCTAGATGTTGAGTTTTTCTTACCTGCTTGAATTAGTAATAGGATCATAGGATCAAAAGTCTCCACAACAGCCTACAGGAGCAGCCCCAGCAAGCTCTCGTAGATCCCTCTGCTGCTCACTGCTAGCATTTGAACTCCAAATGATATAAAACAAAGTGACGGGAATGTATGAGGAATATAATGGGCAAGTGCAGTAATTATATAATATTATAAGCCTAATGCTTTTTCCACTACAATCTTCCTAAGCTATCTTAGCCGTTGATTTTCCACTATCTTAATCGATCCATTGCATGTTAAGATAAGTGCTGTGAGTACAGGAATCGTAATGGGTGTAGAAATCATAATGATATAATGAAATGGTGGTTCATGTAGAAATGAGTAAAAAGTTTCTGTATTAGATGAAAACCAGATTTTTTTTTCTGTAATCAAAATAATAATAAGTTATTCTTCTTATTCATATATATGAAATGCTAAAAAAAAAAGTATGCTTACATTGATTTGGAGCACCTCGGGTATTACACACACTAAATCCTAAATATTAAAAACTACTAAACCCTAAAAAACCTAAACATTATCCCTAAATCCTAACCCTTAAACCCCAAAGCATAAACATCAAACACTTAACACTAAATCCCTAAACACTAAACCCTTAAGCCTAAACCTTAAAATCATAATCACTTTAAAAAACTAAAGCCTAAATCCTAAACCCTAAATCCTAAACCCAATACTGTAATCCTAAAAAATAAACGATAAAACATAAACCATGCATATTTAGTGCTTACTCATTGAGTATTTTTTGCGTATTTGTTGCATATTTGATGCATATCTTCTACGTATTTGATGCGTATTTTCAGGGTATTTGATGTGTATCTTCTGCATATCTTCTTTTGTATTTTCTGCGTATAAATTGATTTTTTATTTCTTCTTTTTTATTGCTTCCTTAACTAATTTCTATGTTTAGTTTGTTCCGTTTCGACTCTTTTTAGTGTTTAGGGTTTTATAACTTCATAATTGGTTGTTGCTTGTTATGACTCTAAGTATTTGTTGCAACCTAAACACTGAAAAAAGGAACATACATTTTGATAGGGCTGAAACTGATGCGGACATCGATTAGAGATTCAAATATATGTATCGCTGGAGACAGCGCAGATCGACGGCCACGATTCAGAGTTTATATTTCTAGTTATTTATGTATTTTCTTTATGCATTTTTCTTTTATTTCTTGGAGTTTCCTATTGTACCCTTAGTATGAGCTGAGTCATGATTGTAGCCCCGAGGGCAATATAGTCGTTGTATTTTCTTTTGTGTTGGGACCTATATATAGGTCATTTCTAGTTGTATTGAGGTTAATGTTTGATTAATAAAATTTTCTGAAATTTTCTTTGTCTTCTTGCTTGAGAGCTTGAGAAAAAGAGAGAGGAGACCTAGGAGAGGCTCCACCCGAAATACCCAACAGCCCGCCCCGGCGAGCTCTTGGTTTTACTTGTGAGTTCACTGTTTTCTTCCTTCCCCATCATTTCCTCCACACACCCGCCTCTTCCCTTGCAGCCAAATCCCGAAATTCCCCTCTCCCTGTGCCAGTCGCCGGCTCCAGCCAGACCACCAAACCCCCTAGTCCATCCCGTCACTCACCTGGTGAGATCCCGCCGCCCAATCCCCCTTGAATTTTGAATTCCGACCATCAATTCCATCATTATTTCTTTCCTAATGTAACTCCCTACATTTAGGAATAGATCTAATTGAAATCTCATCCTATTTGAATTCAAATTTCAAACTCCTTAATTGATTAAATTCCTGAATATTAAAATCTGAATTTAATTAATTAATGGGGCCCACTACTTAAGAAAATTTCCCTTCTTTCTTCGTTTGCTTGGCCAACCCCAACACCTAGCCGTTTCTCTCTATTTGCCACCTAAGCACTCATCAATTAATCCCCTTAATTGCATTTGAAATTTGAAAGGAGTTTCAAATAATTCCTCCCAATTTACTAAAATCTGAGATTAATTCAGAATTTAGTAAATCTCTCTTCCCCTCATCTAAACCTAAGCTCCCTCTCTCTCTTCCCTTGGCCGAACTTCCCCTCCTCCTTGGGAATCCCGCCAGCTCCTCCCTCTCCCTCTTTCTCCTTCTTCAAGCACAAAGGCTATCCTTTACCGTCTCCTAATTCTCTTCTCCTTGGAAGGATTCCCCAACATCAAGCATGTATGGCGGATCCGGAGTTTGAATGGGGATTAGTGTTCAACGCCGACGGGAGCATTAATATCCTACGATCTCCGTGCTTTGACGTGGGATTCGAAGACGACGCCACAGTTGAAGTGTACTTGGAGCGAGTCGTCCCGATTCTTGGGAGCATCATCGACCGACGGTTCTCAAGCTACGATTGGAGTATCGCCAGTCAATCATTCACGCCATCCTCGTCACTGTCAACCCCTACGTGGCTAAAGGCCATTGGTGTGGCCACCATCTTCGTGGCATCGTTAAGTTTGTTAAAGGCCTTCTCCCGCTAAGCCCGACTCGAGTGAGAGTGAGCAAGGTACTCGTTGTGAACTTTCTAGACATTAGCCGTGGGGATTCTATTATTTTTCGCATTTGCTTTATTGTGTAACTTTCGAGATTCTTCATTAATTGTGTCTAAACACTAGCTTGTAACCGCTTATCATAACACGTCGTTAACGGAAATTTCTTGAATCTTAATCTACGAACGTTTAATCTTACATTGGTAAACTGTGTGATTCTTAATGAATTTCATGTGCAATTCTTGAACGTATCACATCAGAAACAGTCACATTTGACAAGAATAACATGATAGTAAAGTAATTCAAGAAGTAGTACATGGAGAATTTGAACCCAGCCTTATCAAATGGAACAAATTAGTTTTGCCAGTTATTGTGGAAAATCTCTCCACTAAACTTGAAAATTCCTAGCTGCGTATTTTCTAAGTATTTTATGAATATATGTAAACACGCCGCAAATACACAATAAATTGATGTTGTTGTTGCTGTTGTTGTATTAAATAAGGCTGCTTTTATGAAATAGTGCTTGTTGGAGATTGGAATCAAATCATAAGATGATTTCTCTTAATTCCTTAGTTGTTCTTTGTGATGAATTATGAATCTTGTATTTTTTAATCATTAGTTCGTTTTATGGTGTATGCTAATTTTTCTCTGGCAACAAAAAACCTAAATTTAAGTAAACTTTAACCGTACATACATCCACTTCAAAGTTCATTTAGATCTCTAATTGTTCCTTTAGGTCCTTGCGTTAGAAATTTATTTCATGCTCTATTGCTCATAAATCTAAGAATGATTTGCATTTTCTTATTAAAAGTTTGTATGCTACTTGCAGAAAGAAATCCGCATACAAAACACTGACGAATATCGATTACAACAGGTATAAGTTCAGTTGCTACTTGAACATTTAGTTTGGTCTTTCCTCTAAATTCTCTGCTTTATATGGAACATATCATCATATTTATACAGGATATTTCCAAAGTGTGCATTCTTTCGGTATTCTCTACCTTACATTGATGCAATCTCTTAGATGGCATTCAACCACATGGCAAATTACACATCTGGCCTCAGATTGTGTACATTTTGATTGTATTGTTACTGTTTGTTTGATATTTTCTTTTGAATATAGCAAAATAATGTTTTCACCAGTTTAATTTTGCCTTAAAATCTCTGTACATCTGAATTTGTTCTTATGATTCGTCATGCAGTTGTTCCGAAAATGTTTGATGTCAGCATGAAAATACATTGTGGGGTGGGTGGTTTGGTTGGTAATAAAATATGGTTTCTAAAACAAGCATTTACAATGGGAATGTGTTTGATGTTTGTATAAGTACAGGAGGTTAGAGTACGTATTTATTTATTATACCAAACTAATGGTTTGATTGTGGTTTACATTATCTGAACCCTACACTGAAATTTCTGAACAAGTTTTTGGCGCCTATGTTTGCCGATGCACAAAGTATTTCCCGGCCTTCTTTTATTGTTTTTAATGCAATTAATAAACTGTTTCTGATGTACAACGCTCTTTTGGTGAAAGCAGGCAAAATTTCACACGATACAAGAACTGCTTGGAAAATTTCACATGGTCATGCCTAGATGTGATGAACAAACTTCTCTTTCACTACTAGATGAGCTTAACGACGAAAGGATACACTGCCGTTGTATGATGAGGAACATGTTCAATACATTTTTTGGGGCAACTTTCCTTGCAGACAGTGGTCAGGAATCAGCTTTTTCTTACCATATCCATCACTATGCAGATGTGTACACTAGCAAGCCAGAGAATTTCCTGTTATACTCTCCTGAAGCATGGCTTCATGTTCCGTTTGACATTAAGATCATGCCGCATCATGTTAAGGTAATATCATAATTATATATTCAAAACTAATTTCTCATTTACAAGGCTCTATATCTGATATGACTTGCACTAGATTTTTTGAGCAAATGAACCAAATTTTTGTAGGTTCCCTCAAGTTTGTTCAAGCAGCAGTAGCTTGGTGACTTGGTGCGCTTATATAAGATCTACTACAGAGAAACATGAACTTTACCTCATTTGATTAAATTCATTAAGCAAGGCGGGCACGGGCACGGGCACGGGCACGGGCACGGGCACGGGCAGTCTTAGATAGCGAACTGGTCTTGTGGATAAAATACCAGCACTAATATTCTAAATAATTCGTTGATTCATTCATGGGTGTTATCATGTTTTTGTTTCTTATTGGATCATACTTTGGTCTTTAAGCAATGAAATTGTGCTTGGCATGGATGGATGTGTATGATGCTCGATAATAGTGTATGCTCCTTAATTGCTTATGCTTCTATTAAGTATCTTTCATTTTAAACGTGTGACTTGAAAGAAGAATCTTTCACTTGGGCATTGCTTGCAGCAGCGACCTTATAAGCAGTAAAGTTATAAAATGCGCGGATTTTCTCCTTCAACTTGGGCTCAATGTCCTCATTTCACTAATTTTTAAGAAATTCACTTTTAGCAAGCAACTAGGGGCCATGTCTCTTGTTGGAAGGAACAAGTGAAGTCGATAACATTAGGACTTCTTAGGATCATCCTTTTGGACTGCATTCGTAAATTATGAAATTCATAGAGTTAATTGTGCAGAGAAATTATTGCTAAGAAGCATTATAATATAATAAACAACACTATAACCTTGGGGAGTTGTAAATTAAGTGAAAAGATTAACAATTTTCTATAAACAGTCAATTTTCTCTCTCTCTCTCTCTCTGTATATATATATATATTCATTTCAAGAAAAATATATACATTTTTTTAAAGCAAATTGTTAGCTACGAAAAGGATAAAAATATTTGGATAAGTTCTTATGCGTTATTAACAAATAATGGAGAAGGAAATTGCAATTTTTTTACTTACCAATATTACCACATGAAAGTGGAATCACTAAAGCTTGTAATAGGCTCAAGAGCAAGTGTTGAATGGAAGGGCTTGGAATGACTTGATCTTCAATTCTAAATCATTATGGCTTGGCTCTTATAGAGAATTCAGGGAAGATATCATATCTATGTGTTGAACTAATGCTACTTGATGGATATAATAAGAGGTAGTGTGCTTGAGGTTGATTTTAGGTGATTGATTTTATATGGACCGTCGGAGCGGCTTATGATGGAAGATATGAAAGGGTGCACATATTTTATGGATAACTTATGATGTTAGAAAAGTGATGCAATATTTGTGTAGGGTTGTCATGTGGAAGTTTTGGTAATTGTAGTAGAAGGAAATCACTCTTGGTGGATTAAGATAGATTGCAACTAGTTAGTTTAACTTGAGAAGATGAGGGGAGAGGAAAGTGTTATAAATTTAAAGAGAACTCTATAACATTATTTATATTTACCAACACATTTTCTAGCAGAAGTGAAATGATCAATTAAGTTGTCACGACCCGGCCCGGTTAGCTCGCAAGTGCGAGGCGGGAACAGAGGTCGGACGTAAAAGTTAAAAGATTTTTTTTTTTGGTGGAACATACCCTAGAATTCAATCTGCCATTTTTGGAGGATTTTTTAGTAGAAACTTCCACCATAAAAATCTACTTAAATATGGAGGATTTCTGCCAAAAAATTCAATTCCGCTCAAGGTGTAAGGACCGATATAGCAATAATCAGAATACCTATGATAACCTAAACTAATCTAGTAAGTTGACGTGTTAAACCCTATATTTTCAATTAATATTTATTAATATATTTTTTGAATTAGATTTGTCCTAAGCAGTTCTAAACGTGAAAATATACATGTGCATGAAAACTCATTGGAAGCATTTCTTTATAGGCATTGTAGCACTATGTTCCGAATTTCTGGATAGGGAAAAGGAAGTTTTGAAGGTGTTGTAGTGATGTGTTCTCTGTATTCTACTTTATTTTGGGTCTATAGGAGCAATGTAGTGTTGGGTTTATGGGTGTTGCGGTGCTAGGTTGTGACACCATAGGATCTAAGGGTAGGAGTGGACTTAAACTTATAATTATATAACTCATCCACTAATAACAAACAACTACTTATACAAAAAAAAAAAAATCAAAACAAATAAGTAACAAAATCAACTTTTGTTTCTTCAAAATATATATATATATATATAATTCAACTCTATACGTATTTAAATCAAAATAGATAAAACTAGAGTTCAAAAGAATTAGTACCTCAACACTAAAGCTCAGAAACCTACTTCTACAATCTTCTAGTCAACCAAGCTCTTCCATTTTCCTGAAACATTTAAAAGTCACAAAGTAAGTTCAAACAACTCATTAGACTCCCTAATTCTTCACCCTTCACAGAGATCACTATCCAATGTAAATATTTAATAATAATTATTTAAAAGTAGTTAATTAAAGGAAAACATAAAGACTTATGAAATACTTGAAATATAGGCAATATAAAAATTTACTAGAGTTCTAGTAAGTATACATGATCCCAAAGCTAGCACTTATACTTTCATAACCACATAACCACTTGCATAGAAATTTCATGATATTGTACAAAATACTAATTCTCAAAGGTCCACTTGCATATCATTTCACTTTCACTTTCTCAACATAATTCATATAGAAGTTCGGGGTACACTAATAAATATTTTAGAATATTTCTAAATCCAATTTATTAGAATATTAACATACAAAATGCAATCATTATCATGTACATGTCCTGATACCTGCTCATATCCCCATTTCCTCCATATGCCTTCCTTTATCTCCCATACCTACATATAACATGTGGGTCAGAATCCCTCCCACATCTAATTTTCACACTATCTCACTCCCTTGAGTATGTGAGTGCATGATCACCAAGTTTAGCATCTATCAAATATACGACTTTTCATTAAAAAAGTGTAGAAATAAATAAAAATAAAATTTAATACTCTCAAAGACACTTGACCCTATTTTATTTAGTGTTGAGTTGATCACTTTGCACGGTGTACGATGGAACTGAAATGCTAGTTCATAAGAACAAATATGCAATAATAATAATAACAGTATATATCATAATAAAGAATCCAATAATATTTTTTTATCATTATAATTACAAGACTCCAATCCATATTTGAAACAATCTCCCCCTTTTTTATGAGGGCAAACATTTTTGGTTATGATTTCAAATTAATTTCTATTATATCCTAAGCTCCCCCTCACCAAATGAGTTTTTTTGAAAATAGGGAGAGTTTTTATTTTTATTTTTTTGTTTTAAAATTTAATGGATTTGAAGAATTTGAAGAACACACAATCATGAACATGAAATAAACAAAGTAATAGACTAATCATAACAAAATAGAAATTATAACCTACCAACAACAATATATTCCCCCTTTTGAAATCACCAAAAATAAAGAACGACTAAACATAACACCAAAAATAAAATAAACATGACAATGAAATGAAACAAAAAAAAGCAACAAAGACAAAAACTAAAACAATACAAGCTAAAAATAAGTAGGTACCTAATCAGGTGGAGGTAGTGGTTGTGTTGGTTGATATTATCGATGTATGGATGTGAGGTACTCTCCAAACCATGCCATATCAGTCTCATGTTGTTGGTGTTGCTTCATGATGTAAACGTCGAAACGAGTCTCCAACTGATCAAATCTTTGAATCAGTGTCTCATACTGAGAAGGCTGGTGTACAAGCGCTGGCATGGTGTTGGAGTTGGTGATGGACATCCCTCTTCTTTCTATGGCTCGGGGTCCACATAATGAATATTTTGGCGATGAGCAATATGATGGACATAAAAGGAGGTATTTAGATAGAATATTGAAAGATGGCCTGGTGGTGTAGGGAATTGGAGATTATATTTGAGTTACATAATAAAGGCAATAATATGACCTAATGCAATATTTGGCTTTCGCTTATTTTTAGGATCTCTAAAGCTAGGTAAGATTTTTAAGGTATCAAATAATTAAATTAGCGGCATTAAAATCAATTTCAGCCATGATTAAATAAGTAGTTATTGATAGAAGAGGTGTGATGTTTATACTATGTCAAGCTTTTGGAATGATTGAATTATTAAGGTTGTGTTGAATGATTCGAGCATCTTGAACTAAAGTGTTAATTAGAGGAATGTGGCAATTTATTGACGACTCGCTAAGGGCGGTGTTGACAATGATCCAATATAGTCAGGTAGAAAGGCTATAGAATGAACTTTTCATTAGTGGTAGAAAGGTGTATGATTTGATCAAAGTCTTGATAGGTGATCTTTACTGGCCTTCTATTGACATAGGATTGAGGGCAGTGCCCTCACTGTTAATTCAAAGGCTTGAAAAAACTTCAAAGAGGAGCTCGGAGTTGAATGGGAATGCAAGAGTTAGAATGAATTGAAGGGTGCTGCAAGCAAATAGATTGAGTACCTAGAAGTTCAAGACTTCATGAATTATGATTTTGGAAGGGGTGATCTCGGCAAACTTGTAATGATGGTATGCTTCTTCATCAGTTGCTTTAGGGAAGCGGGGATCAACAGGATGTTCAGAAGAACTTTCTATGAGAGTCCTTGAGCACTTTCCACCCGGCCATTGAAAAGAGTCAGAACTTATAGTGGAAGGAAGGATGATTGAGAGTTTTGGAGTAAAGATAACCCTTGTGTTCCTTCCTTGCAATAAATAAATGGCCATATCGTACATTACAATGTGTGATAGTACAATACGATATGTGATCATACATTATGATATAGGGAATTTCATTCATCTAGTCCGATTGATAAAAAAAGTTGGTCTTATCATATAGTACGATTAGAATATATAGTTCTAGATTATCAATGTTAAGGCAGTCATCCCGAGGCATCAACTTACACGATCATTGAATTGTCATATCATACAATACGAATAGGTATAGTAAGCATGTATCGTACAGTACAAACTCGATTTTCATATAGTATGATCACTAATAATTGATCAGTCAGAGCCTTTGGAAGTGCTGTGAGAAGTGATGTAATATTTTGTAAAGATAATACGATATGATGTGATATCGTACAGTAATATGTGAGCAATTTTGAATTTGTGTGTGATGATCAAAAAAACTTTATGAAAAAAAAAAAAGAAAAAAAATTCACACAAAATAGATCACAAACATAAATAACAAAGAAGAAGAAAAATTCACATAAAATAGATCACAAACATAAATAACAAACATAAAAATTTACAAAACAAATTACATATAAGCACACAAACACATTTAAGTTTTCAATTTCTAATTTATCCTGCTTCAAGCATGAATGTCTAACACCTAGTGTAGTCCTTAAGGAGCTAAAGGTTTCAAAGGAAAAGGGTTTTATAAAGATATCTGCCAGTTGGTTTTCAATAGCTATATGATGCAATTTTATATCGCCCTTGGTTACATGATCTCTAATTAATGAAAAAGTATCTAATGTCTATGTGTTTTAGTCCAAGAATGTTAGATTGGATTTTTTGAATACATATAGCAC